TTTTAAAAGAACCAATAATATTGTAACTGAAAGATATAGAAATTAGCAAATTTCATTAATTTACTCAGTCTTAAGTAATAATTCTTGCTTGTTCTCCAGTAGCAATTTTTGGACTTCATCTGGTTTTTTCCCCCAGAATTCTGGAACTTTTTAATTTGGTCCATTCATCTTTAACTTTTTTTATTTAATAATTATAAATTTTGAAAGTACAACTTTTGGATTATAGTGGCTTTTCCCCCCCATAACCTCCCTCCCACCCACAACCATCCCATCTCCCACTCCTTCTCCCATCCCATTCACATCAAGATTCATTTTCAATTATCTTTATATACAGAAGATCAACTTAATATATAGTAAGTAAAGATTTCAACAATTTGCACCCACACAAAAACACAAAGTATAAAGTACTGTTTGAGTACTAGTTATACTGTTAATTCACATAGTACAACACATTAAGGGCAGAGATCCTACATGGGGAGTAAGTGCACAGTGACTCCTTTTGTTGATTTAACAGTTGACACTCTTGTTTATGGAGTCAGTAATCACCCTAAGCTCTTGTCATGCCAAGGCTAAGGAAGCCTCTTGAGTTCGCCAACTCCAATCTTATTCAGACAAGGTCATAGTCAAATTGGAAGTTCTCTCCTCCCTTCAGAGAAAGGTACCTCCTTCTTTGATGACCTGTTCTTTCCACTGGGATCTCACTCACAGAGATCTTTCATTTAGTTTTTTTTTTTTTTTCTTTTGCCAGTGTCTTGGCTTTCCATGCCTGAAATACTCTCATGGGCTTTTTAGCCAGATGAGAATGCCTTAAGGGCTGATTCTGAGGCCAGAGTGCTATTTAGGACATCTGCCATTCTATGAGTTGGCTGTGTATCCCTCTTCCCATGTTGGATTATTCTCTCCTTTTTAATTCTATCAGTTAGTATTAGCAGACACTAGTCTTGTTTATGTGATCCCTTTGACACTTAATCCTATCATTATGATCAAATGTGAATTGAAACTGATCACTTTGACTAGTGAGATGGCATTGGTACATGCCACCTTGATGGGATTGAATTGGAATCCCCTGGCAGATTTCTAACTCTACCATTTAGGGCAAGTCCAACTGAGCATGTGCAAACTGTACATCTCCTCCCTCTCTTATTCCCACTCTTATATTTAACAGGGATCACTTTTCAGTTAAATATAAACACCTAAGAATAATTGTGTGTTAATTAAAGAGTTCAACCAATGGGATTAAGTAGAACAAAAAAATACTAAAGAATAAAGTATTAAGTTGTTCTTTGACAGTCAGGAACAAGTTAATACTTTATTCTTTTTAGTATTTTTTTGGTCCATTCATCTTAAACTGTCAGATATCTATGTTTGAGAATGTTTCAAGAATATGAATCTGATTGTAACTATTTTCAGAAAAAAGAACCATGGATGACAAAAAACTTAAAAATGGCCGTTGTCTGACAACTCAGCAAGCAGGAAGGACAGTCATGATCACAGCATACAGTACTGTAGGAAGTACCTGTGAGCTGCTACAAAACTTCCGTCAGCAATGGATCTAAACAAATAGAAATTTTAGCATCACTTCACAACTTGATGATGCTTTCACACAATGTAAAAGAAAAAGGTTAATAATTAGCTATCATTTCTACAAGATGAGTGATTTACCCTTGACCATCTCCAGGGGCCCAGATAGAATTCACAAAGCCAAAATTTTTAATTTAGAACTTCAATTCTGAGACAGCCTGAAAAAAAAATGCCAAAAGCTTTAAACATTTGGTCAAGGTAAGATCCCTGATCAAATTAGTGTTTCATTTAATCACAATGATTAAACCAATTATAGACCAGATTTTATAATAATTTTAAATGATCACTAAAATAGTTTCAAAATATATAGATATCTGTAAAGATTTTTAACTTTCAGGAGGGCTCAGTTTTTCCCAAACATTCAAAGCCTAATAAAGACAGCAGAGAAAACAAGAGACTACCTTGACAAAACTCAAAATCTGTGTTTTCTTGGCCAGATACCAAGAGGTAAAGCTACTAGTAAAGAATCCACTCATCAGCCAGTGCCGTGGCTCACTAGGCTAATCCTCCGCCTGTGGTGCCAGCACCCCAGGTTCTAGTCCCTGTCCGGGTGGCAGATTCTGTCCCGGTTGCCCCTCTTCCAGTCCAGCTCTCTGCTGTGGCCCAGGAGGGCAGTGGAGGATGGCCCAGGTGCTTAGGCCCTGCACCCGCATGGGAGACCAGGAGGAAGCACCTGGCTCCTAGCTTCGGATCAGCATATCAGCATAGTGTGGCGGCCACAATGCACCAGTTGTTGCGGCCACTTGTGGGGGGTGAACCAATGGAAAAAGAAAGACCTTTCTCTCTGTCTCTCTCTCACTAACTCTGCTTGACAAAAAAAAAAAAAAAAGAATCCACTTATCTTGTCACTTGGCTTTTACTATATGCATATTCAGTACTAGAGTCAGAACCAGGGAAGAAAACAGCATGCAGGAGTTGACTGTTAAAGAACAGTTGCAAATTAAATGCAAAAATTAAATGTAAAAGGGAAAAACTACAGTCCAGAAGATGGTTGAAAATTTGTAGAAAACATATTTCAAAGTTTCTTGAAAACTTTTTTTTTTCTTACTAACAGAAAAATCTTGTTTTAACGTAAGGGACCTGGGGCCAGCGCTATGGCATAATGGGTAAAGCCGCTGCCTGCCATGCTGACATCCCACAAGGGCACCGGTTTGAGTCCCGGCTGCTCCACTTCAGATCCAGCTTTCTGCTATAGCCTTGGAAAACAGTATAAGATGGCCCAAATCCTTCAGCCCCTGCACCCACATGGGAGACCTGGAAGAGGCTCCTGGCTCCTGGCTTCAGATCGGCACAGCTCTGGCCTATGTGGCCAACTGGGGAGTGAACCAGTGGATGGAAGACTCTCTTCTCTGTCTCTCCTTCTCTCTATATATAACTGTGACTTCAAATAAAATAAATAATTATTTTAAAAAGCATAAGGGGGCAAATTAATTTTAATGCTCATTTTAAAAATATGTAATTTTTAAAATTTTAGTCAACTTTGTCACAAAGTTTTTCTTATGAAGTTTTTTAGAAGATTTATTTATTTATTTATTTGAAAATCAGAGTTACAGAGAAAGAGAGACAGGGAGAGGTCTTCCATCTACTGGTTCACTCCCCAAATGTCAACAACAACCATGGGTGGACCAGGCCAAAGCCAGGAGCTTCTCCCACATGGGAGGCAGGGGCCCAAACACTTGGGCCATCTTCCACTGCTTTCCCAAGCGCATTAGCAGGGAGCTGGATTGCAAGTGGAGCAGCCAGGACTCGAACTGGTGCCTATATGGAATCCCAGGCAAAGGCTTAACTCACTGAGCCACAGCAATGGCCCCTTTTAGAAGAAGAATTCTGGGGATAGGAGCAGGGGAGGGTCATTTGGCCTAGCCATTAAGACTAAGATGCCCACATCGATTCAAGCCCCAGCTCCATTTGCTAATCCAGATTCCTCCTGTGCCCTGGATGGTGGCAGTGTTCTCTCTGGACCCATGTGAGAGACCTGGACTGAGTGCCTGGCTCCTGGCTTCACGCTCACTCAGCCCAGTGTTGGCTGTCGCAGGTGTATGGGGATTAAGCCAGTGGATGGAAGATCTCTTTCTTTCTCTCTCTCCCCCTCTTCCTCTCCCCCTTTCTCCCCCTCCTACTCTCTCTCCCCTTCTCTCCCCCTCTTTCTCTCCCTCTCTCTCTCTCCCTATCCCTCTCCCTCTCCCCCTCTTTCCTCTCTCTCTCTCCCTTTCAAAAGAATATATATGTGCATGTGTAAACATATTTCATCTCTCTATTAAATATGGCAAGTTGTGTCATTTATCATTTTTCTTTTCCTGCCTTAACTTCCAGAAAGCTCACAGCTAAGCAAACATGTTGGTGACAGAACTATGCTACCTATCTGGACTGTTGTGTATTTTTCTTGCTTAGACTAAACTTTTTTTTATTCTTTTTAACTTTTATTTAGTAAATATAAATTTCCAAAGTACAGTTTATGGATTACAATGGCTTCCCCCCAATAACTTCCCTCCCACTCGCACCCCTCCCATCTCCCGCTCCCTCTCCCATTCCCATCACATCGAGATTCATTTTCAATTATCCTTATATACAGAAGATCAATTCAGTATATATTAAGTAAAGATTTCATCTGTTTGCACCCACACAGAAACACGAAGTGTAAAATACTGTTTCGGTACTAGTTATAGCATTACTTCACATTGGACAACACATTAAGGACAGATCCCACATGAGGAGTAAGTACACAGTGATTCCTTTTGTTGACTTAACAATTTGACACTCTTGTTTATGGCATCAGTAATCTCCCTAGGCTCTAGTCATGAGTTGCCAAGGCTATGGAAGCCTCTTTTTTTTATTTTATTTAATGAACATAAATTTCCAAAGTACAGCTTATGGATTACAATAGCTTCCCCCCACCCCATAACTTCCCTCCCACCCACAACACTCCCCTCTCCCACTCACTCTCCCCTTCCATTCACATCAAGATTAATTTTCAATTATCTTTAAATACAGAAGATCAATTTATATACTAAGTAACATTTCAACAGTTTGCACCCACACAGAAACACAAAGTATAAAGTACTGTTTGAGTACTAGTTTAGCATTAATTAAACACCTAAGGTAAGTGTGTATTAATTACAGAGTTCAACCAATAGTTTTAAGTAGAACATAAAAAATACTAAAAGGGTAAAGTATTAAGTTCTTTTTTTTTTTTTTGTTTGTTATATAGTTATTTTTTATTTAATAAATGTGAATTTACAAAGTGTAACTTTTGTATTGTTGTGGCTTCCCCCCCACCAACCTCCCTCCCTCCCGCTGCCCTCCCCTCTCCCACTCCCTCTCCCATCCCGCCCTTCATCAAGTTTCATTTTCAATTACCTTCATATACTGAAGATCAACTTAGTATATACTAAGCAAGGATTTCAACAGGCTGTACTCACACAATCACACAAGGTATAGGGTATTGTTCGACTAGTAGTGTTGTTTTTAAGTTTCATAGTAGAACACATTAAGGACAGAGATCCTACATGGGGAGCATGTACCAAGTGACTCCCATTGTTGATTTAACAATTGGCACTCTTATTTATGACGTCAGCAATCATCCGAGACTCTTGCTATGAGCTGTCTAGGCTATGGAAGCCCCTTGAGTTCACTGATTCTGAACTTGTTTAGTCAAGGCTGTATCACAGTGGAGGTTCCTTCCTCCCTTCAGAGAAAGGCGCCTCTCTGCTTGATGGCCTGTTCCTTCTGCTGGGGTCTTGTTCACCAGGATCTTTCATTTAGATTGTTTTTTGCCACCGTGTCATGGCTTTCCATGCCTGTGAGACTCTCAAGGACCTTTTAGCCAGATCTGAATGTCCCAAGGGTTGATTCTGAGGCAGGAGTGCTGCCATTCTATGAGTCTGCTGTGTGTTATGGAAGCCTCTTGAGTTCGCCGATTTCAATCTTATTCAGACAGGGTCATAGTCAAGGTGGAAGTTCTCTCGTCCCTTCAGAGAAAGGTACCTCCTTCTTTGATCGCCCTGTTCTTGCCACTGGGATCTCACAGAGATCTTTCATTTAGGTCTTTTTTTTTTTTTTTCCAGAGTGTCTTGGTTTTCCATGCCTAAAATACTCTCACGGGCTCTTCAGCCAGATTCAACTGCCTTAAGGGGCTGATTCTGAGACCAGAGTGCTGTTAGGACATCTGCCATTCTATGAGTCTGCTGTGTATCCCACTTCCCATGTTGGATTGTTCTCTCCTTTTTAATTCTATCAGTTAGTATTATCAGACACTAGTCTTGTTTGTGTGATCCCTTTGACTCTTAGACCTATCAGTGTGATCAATTGTGAACTGAAATTGATCACTTGGACTAGTGAGATGGCATTGGTACATGCAACCTTGATGGGATTGTATTGGAATCCCCTGGCAGATTTCTAACTCCACCATTTGGGTCAAGTCAGCTTGAGCATGTCCCAAATTGTACATCTCCTCCCTCTCTTATTCCCACTCTTATATTTAACAGGGATCACTTTTCAGTTAAATTTAAACACCTAAGAATAATTGTGTGTTAATTACAGAGTTCAACCAATAGTACTAACCTTTAGTTGTCTAATTTTTAAATTATACTTATTTTTTTGGTAAAATAGATGTTTTGAAAACAGAAACAAATAACTAAGTATTAAAGTGTCCAGACTGACATCAAATTTCATATGAATGCTGATCTGAGGTCGCTCAGTTTCATTTATGTCTAACAAGTAGCACAGGAAGAAGCAAACTCATTAGACATGATTGACTGCTGAGTGTTAATCACAAATTATCTTATCACAGCATAGTATCTATAGTGTTAGACTCAAATACACATTTTTTAAAAAATGTATCCTTTCAAACCTTCTATGACTTGCTCAGACCTTTGTGACTTACATAAACTTTTAGGTTTTGCCCTATTTTTTCCTCTTCAACCTATAGTAATACATTTATTTTACCTTAAGATAAAAATCGTATATAAAATGCATTTTCTTATCAAAAAAATTCTCTTCCCTTTTTAACCTTCCTCACCAAAATTAGATTATCAATGCTTACAGCGTGTGTATTGTATTATTTTTTCATCCTTGGCCCAGGCAGAGTTAGACAGTGAGAGAGGGAGACAGAGACAAAGGTCTTCCCTTCCATTGGTGCACTCCCCTAATGGCCACTATGGCTGGTGCTGCGCCAATCCGAAGCCAGGAGAACCGGGAGCTTCCTCCAGGTTGGTACATGCAACATTGATGGGATTGTATTGGAATCCCCTGGCAGATTTCTAACTCCACCATTTGGGGCAAGTCAGCTTGAGCATGTCTCAAATTATACATCTCCTCCCTCTCTTATTCCCACTCTTATATTTAACAGGGATCACTTTTGTGTGATCACTTTTGTGAGCATGTACCAACTGGGAGCTTCCTCCAGGTCTCCCACATGAGTACCTCCTCCCAGTCTCCCATGCAGGTCCAGGCCCAAGCACTTGGGCCACCCTCCCCTGCCTTCCCGGGCCACAGCAAAGAGCTGGACTGGAAGAGGGCAACTGGGACTAGTACTCGGTACCCCAACTGGGACTAGAACATGGGGTGCTGCCGCTGCAGGCAGAGGATTAGCCAAGTGAGCCATGGCTACAGCGTACAGCTTTCTTTATATTTCTCTTCCCCTTCCTAATACTGATTCTTTTAATTTATATTTTGAAATAATCCTTTAAAAATCTCCAACATTTAACAAATTTTAAGTAAACGAACATATAGAATTTTAACTGTTAGTATTTTAAAGCAGTCTAAATCATTCACCACATATCAATAACTTTATGAAAACATTTGTTAATAGATATATATTATCTTTTTATAAAATTTGAGTACTTGAATTTATATTTCAAAACATTTATCTCATTTACTTTTACTCAATTTATATTTAATAATTATATGTATATCAATTAAGAAACTGAGATATTAGATAAGCATAGTTATCATTTTAAGCCACTTTCATGTCCAAGAAAAATTCTAATGGCTAGTGTATCTAATACACTACTGTATCTTCACCTGCATTATTTGTTGTTAGGTCAAAATTATATTTTCTTTTTTTAAAAAGATTTATTTATTTATTTGAAAGTCAGAGTTACACAGAGAGAGGAGAGGCAGAGAGAGGTCCTCCATCCGCTGGCCCACTCCACAGTTGGCCACAATGGCTGGAGCCACGGCAGTCCGAAGCTGGGAACCGGGAGCTTCCTCCAGGTCTCCCACATGAGTGCAGGGGCCCAAGAACTTGGGCCATCCTCCACTGCTTTCCCAGGCCACAGCAGAGAGCTGGATTGGAAATGGAGCAGCCAGGTCTTGAACCAGCGCCCATATGGGATGCCGGCGCTTCAGGCCAGGGCATTAACCCACTGCACCACAGCGCCGGCCCCCAAAATTATATTTTCATGCTTTACAGTATCTAATAAATAGCTTTCCCTGGCCAGCAAACCCACGCACAAATGTATTTTAACATTTCTAAAAATATTTTTACCCTTTTTCTCTTCTAAAAAATTGAAAGCAAGTTATTTATCAAAAATTACTTAAGGGACAGGTATTGTGACACAACTGGTGAAGCTGACACTGCATCCCTTATCAGAGTGCCAATTCAAGTCCTCACTACTCTATGCTTCCAATCCAATTTCCTGTTAATGTATCTATACCCAAGGAGGCAGGAGAAAATGGCCCAAATGCATGAGTCCCTACCACCCACAACGAGGCCTGGATGGGATTCTTGGCTTCAGTCTGGTCCAGTTCCTGCTGGACCTTTGGAGAGTGTACCTTTAGATAGAAGATATCTCTCCCTCTCTTTCTCTCTGCCTTTCAAATAAATAAATCTTTTAAAATTTGACTTACATATATTTCATTGTCTCTGTTTCTATTCACTTGGATACAATAGCATAAAAACTTGCAAATGGAATTTATTCCTATTTTTTTAATAAAACAACTCTAGTTAAAAAATAGTAACATTGGGGCCAGCACCGTGGCTCACTTGGCTAATCCTCCACCTGCGGCGCCGGTTCTAGTCCCAGTTAGGGCACCAGGTTCTAGTCCCAGCTGCTCCTCTTCTAGTCCAGCTCTCTGCTGTGGCCTGGGAAGGCAGTGGAGGATGGCCCAAGAGCTTGGGCCCCTGCACCCGCATGGAAGACCAAGAAGAAACACCTGGCTCCTAGCTTCGGATCAGCGCAGTGCCAGCCATAGCAGCCTTTTGCGGGGTGAACCAACGGAAAGAAGACCTTTCTCTCTGTCTCTCTCTTATTGTCTGTCAAAATAAAATAAAATAAAATAAAATAAATTTTAAAAAATGTAATATAACCCAAAGAGTTATTAAGTGGCCACTTTTTTTCCATCTCAAAGAATACTACAGCCAGGCAGTATTACAGTAAAAAGAAATAAATTTTTAATAAATGTTTTGAAAATAGTTTTATAATTAAAATATCTTAATGTCGCTCCCCCTCTTCGTGGAGGAACGACACAGGACCCTGCGCTGTTCTTTTGTCTGCTCGGCCCTCCCCGGGTTTGCTGCTGGTTCTTCCCGGGTTGGCTACCGTCCCTTCCACCTCCGTGGAAGGGCGGTTCCCCCTGCCACTTTCCCCACTTCCGCAGGGGAGCGGCACACCGCTGGCCAGTTCTCTCGGGGGCTGCACAGGTGTTCCCTCAGATGTTCCCCTTAGATGTTCCTGGTGCATGTTGTCTCTCTCCTCCTTTATAGTCTTCTTCCACCAATCCCAACTCTGCTACCCACACGCCGAGTACGCTGCTCTCCTCCTATCAGGAGCAGGTCCTACAGTTTATTGGTTGAACTGGAGGCAGCTGTGTAGAAGCTGTTTCTCCCTTCTCAGCGCCATATTGTGGGAGAGCAGATGCATAGAATAAGTCTTAATTCCAGTAACTTAGTCTAGTCCAAGTTGCTCCCCACAGATCCCCCTTTCTTTTTATTTTTGGCGTTGATACGCGCCTGTCTTCGGTGCCCCACGGCACACACTCTGCTCTGCTTGCTAGAGTTGCCCACAGGTGCTTACAAGTCCTATCAATCAGGCAAAACCGAATCCGGGTCCTCTCTTCGCCATGTTGTGAGGAGGTTTTTAGGCGCTGATGCGTGCCTGTGTTCGGTGCCCTGCAGCGCATGCTCTGCTCTGCTAGAACTGCCTGTAGGTGCTTACAAGCCCTACCAATCAGGCAAACCGAATCCAAGCCCTCTCATTGCCGTCTTGTGGGGAGACTTATTGATGTTAATTTGTGCCTGTCTTCAGTGACCTGCAGCGGGTAAGCTGCTAGCCGCCCGCAGGTGCTCACCACCTCCCTAATCAGGCAGACCGAATCCAAGCTCTCTCATTGCCGTGTTGTGGGGAGGCCTTATTTTTCTCTATTTCTCTATCTCCGGGCATCCCTATCTCTCCTATTTTACTTTTATCTACCAGCATTCCTATTTCTCTCATTTTACTTCTAAACTTCTGTTTCTCTTATCCCTGCGGCATCCCAGCGCCCGCCCCGAGGCTGCTTCTCGGCGGCTTCCCGGCTCTGAGCCGCTTCAGCCCGCGCTTCTCTCATCTGCGCGGCTTCCTGGCGCCCGCCCTGCGGCGGGCTCCTGGCTCTGCGCAGCTTGGCTTTGCACGCACACTCCACGGTCTCCACGCCCTTTGCGCCCGCACCACGGCCTCGCGCTAGCCCTGGGTTCCCTATCTACTTGTGCCCCGCGCGCTCTCTCTGCGCACGGCGGCTTCCACGAGTCACACAGCACAGCTCACGTTTCCGCCACCGGTATTCAGTCCAAGTTCCCCGGGCTAACCTGGCGAATTCAACCCAGCTCACGTCTGCGCCCTTCGGCTTGGCTTCCTGTCCTTTGCTCCCCGGGCTAATCTGACAGATTCCAACCTGGCAGCCCATGTCTCTGCCTCTGGTTCCAAATTTTCGCCTTTTGCTCCCCGGGCTGACTTGAAGAATCCCAAGCTGGCTTACGTCTCCGCCTCAGCCTGCCCCCGCGGCTTCAATTTCCCTAACATTTTTCTCTACCCGGTATGTTTCCTAACTTTTCTTCCAACAATATTCCTCCCTCATTTCTCCTGGCTTCTCCCCGAGTCTAAGTTTCTTCTAGGTTTCACTTTCACTTTCAACCTGCAGTCCGTATCTAAGTCTAAGTTTCTTCTTGCTTTCACTTTAAATCCTAACTTCTTTCCCACAGTCCGTATCCGAGTCCAAGCCTCCTCCAGGTTTCACTTTCGCTTTCAATCTCCTAATTTCCCCGCCATAGTCCACATCCGAGTCTATGCAAGCTTTCACTTTCGCTTTCAATCCTAACTTCTTTCCCACAGTCCATATCCGAGTCACGGCACCATTGTGTCGCTCCCCCTCTTCGTGGAGGAACGACACAGGACCCTGCGCTGTTCTTTTGTCTGCTCGGCCCTCCCCGGGTTTGCTGCTGGTTCTTCCCGGGTTGGCTACCGACCCTTCCACCTCCGTGGAAGGGCGGTTCCCCCTGGCCACTTTCCCCACTTCCGCGGGGGAGTGGCACACCGCCAGCCGGTTCTCTCGGGGGCTGCACAGGTGTTCCCTCAGATGTTCCCCTTAGATGTTCCTGGTGCATGTTGTCTCTCTCCTCCTTTATAGTCTTCTTCCACCAATCCCAACTCTGCTACCCACACGCCGAGTACGCTGCTCTCCTCCAATCAGGAGTAGGTCCTACAGTTTATTGGTTGAACTGGAGGCAGCTGTGTAGAAGCTGTTTCTCCCTTCTCAGCGCCATATTGTGGGAGAGCAGATGCATAGAATAAGTCTTAATTCCAGTAACTTAGTCTAGTCTGAGTTGCTCCCCACATCTTAATTTTTGAAAAATATACCATAGGTAGCTATAAGAACTGAGCTCTGATTACCCATTGTTATTTATGGCTGGACCTGTCA